GACAGAGGCCTCATGTCAGTGACGATCATGTTCAGGATGTTTCAGTGAAGACAGCTGCTGCTGTGGTGTCCATGATGTCTGTCCATCATGAAGGATGTTGTTGTTGTTTGTTGTTGTTTTCTGGAATGAGAGAGTAAATATGTATTATAGCATAATTATTACAGCAACTCAAGAAATGCCTTGTTTCACTTACAGTGTTAGGTTCAGGCAAAAGAAGCTAAAAGAGCAATGAAACACACACATTCACACACACACAAAATACTTAATTACACACATTTGAGTAGATGTAATAAATTACTTTAATTCCTGTTTAAATGCAATTCATCCTGCCATACCTGCAGTGTCTTCAGACTTTGCCAACAAATTAAAAGTTGAAGCTTAATCATTAAATTATTATCTTTGTGTTAGATTTATTTATAAATCACATTTAAACACTGCTTGTACCAATTAAATTAAATAAAAAGTTACACACGTTCTCTATCACCGTCATTAATCAGAAAACAAACAAACAAGCAGCAGCTTCATCTTCAGACAGACTGACGTTACGTTTTCTCTCTTGAAACAGAACAAAGTGTTAAATTGTAGAGACTCACCTGCAACACATGAAGAGTTGTATCAGCTGCTGCTCCTTCCTCCTCCTCGTGACTCCGTCATGTTTACGTTTATCTCCGTGGTTCTCCTGTGTCGTCACTTTTCAAAGCTGCATGTTGCGCAGTTTTTATCTTTTTAGCTCCCACACTGTTGAGGACTTGGGTCGAACAGTTTTCTCTGCGTTGGTCATTTGTAAAATTTATTTAATTTCCTTTGAAAACAGCCTCTGCTCTGCTTCCTCCTCCCCCCTCGCTCTGTTCAACTCACGCTGCAGAGTTTGTTTTTTTCCCCAAACTTTATTCAGTCAGTCAGCGTTGACAATGAACTGCCCGTGAACAAAACGGCTCTGCAGCGCCGTGAAAGACGCATAATCACGCAACACAAGGAATCGATAGTGAAATTCGTTGCCAGCGCTTTTAATAATCGATTTTATTCAATTCAGTTTATTTATAAAGCGCCAAATCACAACAAAGTTGTCTCAGTGCACTTTACAGAAACAATCACATAAAAGACAATTAGTAAAGTTTTCTAAGGAATCCAGCAGACAAGTTGAATATTGTCTTCGTCTCAGTCTCCCATTCTGAGCAAGCACAGTGGAGACAGTGGAAAGAAAAACTCCCTTTTAACAGGAAGAAACCTCCATCAGAACCAGCTCAGGACAAGAGACCATCTGCTTTGACCGGCTTTATCGATTCGTTGTTGCAGCCCTACACTCGTTTGCTCCGTCCGGGCCCTGACAGCGTCTTCACTGTGCTCAGGCGGCAGTACTGGATTCTACGGTGGAGACAGGCAGTCAAGAAATATCAGAGGACATGTCCTGAGTGCACCAAATGGAGAGGGAAGCCCTCGGTCCCAATGATGGCAGACCTACCTCCCGCCTGTCTGAGACTCTTGAAGCCTCCATTCTACTCCACAGGACTTGACTGTTTTGGTCCATATATCATCAAAATTGGACGCCAGAACGAAAAGCGATGGGGAGTAATCTTCAAGTGTCTCACAACATGTGTCCATCTAGACTTGCTGGCAGGCCTTGATGCAGATACTTTTCTTGCGACGCTGAGAAGGTTCACAGCAAGAAGAGGAACTCCTGCTGAGATCCTCTCAGACCAAGGGACTAACTTCCGAGGGGCCGAGAGAGAGCTTAAAGAGGCATTTGCAGCTATGGTCCAAGAGCTGCTGGAGAGGACTGCCAAGTATCAGATTAAGTTCCAGTTCAACCCACCAGTGGCGCCTCGTTGGGGGGAGCTTGGGAGCATGAAATACAGTCTGTCAAGAAGGCTCTCCAGGTGGTTGTAGGCACTCAGTCCCTCCATGAAGAGGTCTTCTCACTCTCCTGATCAAGGTCGAGGGCATCCTCAATGCCAAGCCATTAGACTATGTTTCAGCAGACATAGCTGACCCCGATCCAGTGACACCTAATATGCTGATGATGGGGAGGCGGGATGCCTCCCTACCCCAAGTGTCCTATGCTCCTGACACCCTCACAATAAGACGCTGGCGCCACTGTCAGATGATGGTGGACCACTTCTGGGCGCAGTTCCTGCGGCATCACCTTCCTTCTTTGCAGGTCCGGCAGAAGTGGCGGCGGCCTGCTGATGACCTCGTCCAGAACACGGCTGTCATGACCGTTGACCCCCAGCTTCAGAGAGCGCAGTGGCCCATCAGGAAGGTTGTCAAGGTGATCAAGATTGCGGACGGTCATGTCAGGTCGGCCAAGGTTCGAGTTGGGGAAAAGACCTACCTGCGGCCAGTGGCATGTCTGGTCCAGCTGCCTGCCATCCCACATGAGGACAGACCCAGTACAGGGATCCCAGCAGCACCATCGGGAATTTAGTAGTTTCTACATAATAGCTAGGCCATTCTGGGGGCGGCTGTTATAAATTCCCCTAGTATAACTGCATGTTCTGAGCAGGATCCGTTTAGTGCTGAAGTCTTTTTTTTTTTACATTAGGCACCTTGTTGGGCAGCTATGGGGTCCTTGGGAATATATATTGTTGTTCAGAGAGATTCTTTTTCTTTTACGTTGATACCTGCCTGTGTTTGTGATAAAGGTGAGCTATATATAACAAGTTGTTAACTGCTATGTAGTTATTTTCATATTAAAATAAAACTGCAAAATAGGCAGTGAATTTCAGCGCTAATACATGTTAGCATGTTAGCATCCCTTGTATAGGAACGTCAGTCGGTGTTGTTCTGTTCTAACAGTCATTTAAGTTGAAGCTAAGTCTCAAGTTACTGTGCTTGATTTAGTCTTTTCAGTTATATTGTGTTTGTTTATTTCAGATACCAGACAGACAGAGAG